TCTTTATTTTGTTAGGACCATACCGAAAACGAAAGACTCAGGCAACGAACTCGAAAAGGGGCACATTTCAGGCTAGCTAACCAAAAAACAGAGGAGTATACTAAAATTTAGGGAAAACATAGATTTCTCCGTAACTTAATATCGTATAAACTTTGTATTTTTGCTATATAATTCAGTGGTTATATCTATTGGATGCGGCGAACATACCACTAGCAAACACACACTGTCAACTAACATTGGCTGGAATCCTTGGCCACAAACCCAAACCAAAAACCAAACACACACGAAAGCAGAATGCAAACTGCCAATTTCATAGTTGAGCCTGAGGAATCCTCTGCGAGGCGAGGACGTTGGCATGCCCAGCCCGATCTTCAGATTCAGTTAAAGCTGCATCCTCAGCTCCAGCAGCGAGACTCCGGCCTCAAACTGCATACCAAATTCTTTGCTGAAGATGTTGTGGCAACTTCGACGCTCCCCTGCCTCTTGCCACGAAATTGATGCCAACCAGATTCGAAAATTTACGTGTTGTGTTCTTGGGCTCTTGCTCTAACATGGTAACAGAAAATGAAGGGTATACGGGAATAGTAAATGGGTTCGATAACTCAAATTGGTTACTATATTCACTACAGAATGGAAAGCTTGTAAATTAATTGACTGCTCTCAAAAAGTAACTACATTGGACCTTTCGGATATTTACCAATGTTTCATTATATTTCTTCTTTTAGAGATTATTTTTCAGAGTAACTGAACTTCGTCTTGCAGAAACCTATATTCCTCGCTCCTTTCTCGTTTGCTCTTCCCTGGACCGTCCCGTTCCCCGTTTTTGTGTGTGCTTGTGGGCCTTTGGAGAACGCATATATCTGTGGCCAATGCCAAAGACGTTGTCTGCTCGTTTTCCAAGTTTCAGTTCAGGCTCCGGAGCTTTGGAGCTCTGGGCTCCTCCGGCCTCCATCCTCCATCCTCCCATCCTCCATCCTCCAAACTCCATCCTCCTTGGCTGTCGTTCGATTCGTTTGTGTTAATGCAACGCGCGACGGCTACCTGAATTACTGAACACGCGTCTTGTGTCTGTTCCCCTGCTCCCCATCTGCCCCTACCCGATCCTCCTGCTCCCAAGCCCCTCTTCTGTATTCCTGAAATTGTTTGTTCGCCATGGAGGCGACGCGTTCCCTGCCTTTTTGTTCGTTTTATGTGCCATTTTTTGTGTTGCTCCGCTGTGTTGGTATTTTTATGTGTTTTGGCAGATCGCTTTGGCCAGAATGGAGGATGGAGGTTGGAGACTGAATCTTCTGCTGCTGCTGCTGCCGCCGCTGATGATGATGAGCAGCTTTTAGAGCGGACTGGTTTATGTTTATTAGTTGTATTTTTCATGCCTTATCGCTGGCATTTGGCTACTCCACAACTCGGGGTCCAAACTGGACACAACCTGGATCCCCGAATCCCGGAGAAGACTCACCTATGAGCACAGCCAGACCGAAGAGTTCGGTGTCCAGCATCCCTTGCGTGGCAAAGTGCAGACATGTCTGCGTGTAGACCTCGCGAACTCGACTCTTGGCATCGACTAGGAAGTACAAGGTTTTCGGCTGCTGCTGCCCCAGAAGTCTGCAAATTCCACAGAGATTAGGCAACCGAATTTCGCAATGGAGCACCCAACCAACTCACCTCAGGGCCAGGAATCGCGAGCCTGGTGATAGTTGCTCGGCTGAGGACGCGCATACTTCCAAAGGCGCGCTGACGGTGCAAAATGCTCGCATGCTGCATCATTTTCCGTATACAGCGCGCGCGTTCGAAATACGTTGCTATTTGGATAAAAGAGAAAAGTAGTGGTGAGTATCTAAGGATCTTAAGGTTTTATTTTGTAAATATAACTAGATCTTATGGGGTAATACTAATAAATACCATACAAATACTATATTGGATGATGGTATATCTAATTAGGATCTTGGAATATATGGATAAAACGTATTCTTTAGCTGTTCCGATAACTGATAAGAAAAACTCTTTTGGCGATTATTTCTCTGAGGTCTGATTGTTCAGATACCCCTTTTCAATATAAACCATTCCAAGATGAAATTTCATCGCATTCCGGAGAGAAACTGCCGCATCTAAAGCGTCATTTCTAACCGCATTTCTGGCTCATCAAATGCCGATAAAGCTGCCGCTCGATCGGCGCGGTTAGGCACCATTCTTTCAGGCAAATTGATGCCGCTGGAGCCGCCCCAGACGGAATTGGAGACGAAAGGCGGAAGATGGCGATGTCGATGGCGATGGCGATGGCGCCCGCCTCTTTTGGGCTCACCGACTGCCGAACAATTTCACCAATCAATAACGAAAGACTTAGGCGACAAACTTGATTAGCGGGCAGGGGACTCGAACTCGGACTTGGACTTGGACAGAAAACTGAATAGTGAATAGTGAATACTTGGGGACTCACTAGACTCCAGGCGGTGCGTGCGTGGCACCAAAGCCGAACTCCCTCCCCCTCTTGATGCGTTGCGCATAAAATTATTAAAATTCAGTTAAAGAAAGTTCCAAACGCCGGAGCAAAGAGAGGGAGGGCGATGGGGAGACCCGAACTGGCCTCGTGATGAAAGAAAAGTATTTTATGCATAAATTAAAATCAAATCGAATCAAATCAACTTTTTGTATAGAGCGCCGGCAGCAGCGGCGACTACAGTTTCTACCAACCCGGTGGAGACGCATAAATTTCAATATTGGCGCATTTCTGTGTCTAATAAATTTCAACGTTCAATAAATTTATTCAGAGTCAAGTCGAGAGCCGAAAGAGTCGAAAGAGAGACAGAGGCTGGCAGAACCGCCCGGACTTATAGGTATATGATCCGATCGGTCCCATCGAAGGAATGCCTCCCCCTCCGCCACCGCCACCGCCGAAAAGCGATCATCAATCAAAGCGCACATTTGACATAAATTAGAAACCAAAGAATATCTGGGAACACAACAACCAACAACTCCCCTCTTCAAAGGCCTCTCCAAAAAAGCTTTTGAAAAGCAATTATATTTAAGCCGATTTCCATGCGCACCTTGGACCCGGCTAAGTTGCTCTGGAGAACAGGCTCAGACACACACTTTATGCCAGATCACCGGTGATTACGAAACGAGAATTGGAATTCCAGGTCTCTAATGTGCTGCGATTGACTTATTACCGAGGAATTTATCGGATAAACATAAAAAACTACATTGTTGAGCTCTCAAGAGGAACTGGATTAAGCGATCACTCAGTCTCAGAAGTTGAGTGAGTGATCAACAAATAGGGTTTCGAAAGATTGATCTGCGCAACATTCAAATTTTAAAGAAATTCCTGTTCAAACTGTCAACATTTTAAACTGAATTCTTAAATAAGCAAACTACCCCTTAATCATTTATTAAACTGTATCAAGCATATATTTAGTGTTATTAAGTGCTTTGTCATTAAATAATGCAAGCATGCCATTTTTCAGGAGTTTCGAGGAAATGCTCGTTGCCGTTTAAATGTAATAATATGTCATTCAGAGCGACAATAAAAGGAAACAATAAATTGCCTTTAACGAAGGCATCCTATCAATTCTGATAACAATAAAAGGAAGCTAATTAGCCGATGGGAATTCCGAAGGAAGCGAACGTGGCCTTAATGAGAAAGAACGATTAAACGAATGATCTTTCATGTATAACAAACAGATCGCTGTTTGATAGGCGCGATTTCTCCGGAAGTAATGGCCTGGGGTGGGAATGATTGATCGGACGACTTGATCAATGGGTACACGATGTTAGTGAGGCGATAATTTCGCCGAAGACTGCTTCGCAGAAGGCCCGCTCGCAAATATTTCTCTCGAATTCCAGACCCCGCACAATGCCGGTCATTATGCAATCGCCAATGCCAAAAACCCAAAACCGAAAAAATATGTGTGATCACGACTTCCTCGAGGATGAGTCAACGAAAGGGGGACGAGCGCGAAGAGAGCGCTTTAATTTGAAATGCAAACGAATTAAAAGCGCTTAACAATTTCAATCATAGCAAATTATCCGCATTCCGTTGGCTAATGAGAGCGGGAAGCAAAGAAAGCCGTGGCGACGTTAATTATTGAAGACATGTAGAGGAGGGGGTATACACGGAGAGACTAATTTAATGATTTCACATTCCATTCGGAATAGAGATACCATTACATTGGTTCGTGATGTAGAAGCCTAGACATGGTATAGTGTTATTTATTAACTAAATATCAAAAGGGTGTAGTATTTTTTATCCCTATTAAGCGTAAAAAGAAAATAGTTTCATGACCAACAATGGTCGCCCATGGGATACACCTTTTCTCTGCCGCCGTTCTGCCAGCATACACAATATAAAACACCGGTTGGATAGAAGAAACGTAACTGTAAAACATACATCGCTTAAGTATGAAGTGATATCTCTTTTCTCCCAGTGCACTGGGTGCTGGCAATTAAAAAACGCGGCAAAGAAGCGAGCCAACTGGAGCTGAGCGAACGCAGGAGACACGCTAATCAGCAATTAGCAAATGGCAATAAATATTTTGTTTATGATTAAGCGAGTGGCGGTTGTTCAGGGGGTGGTTCAGTTGTTCAGTTCAGTTGCTCCGTGAGTGGGTCGCTTTTTCGAGAGAGCTTGGAATGCAGACACTGGTGGAGAACTAGAGAACTGGTGGGGTGGAGAAAGGGGCAGAGAATGAGGCATGGGGCTCGGCGCAATAAAATCTCACGGGCTCTGCCGCGATCAAAGTCAATTAAATGGCGCAAGCGCCAGCAGCGAATGCTTTTCAGCTTTTCTGCTGGCTAAGCGAATGCCAAAGGGGTAAAGAGAGCAAAAAGGCAGCGAATTAAGTCGGCGGCTGAGGAGCGGAGAAACAGAGACGTTCCGCATACGCCACGTTGTGCTGCGACAGCAACTAAAAGCAGAAGGCACTGTGAGAAGTTTGGCAGGGAATTTGGCCAAGTCTGAAAAATAATTTAAGCATCAACGACTTACAAACAATAATCGTTCCTTTATTATTTACTAAGCTATTACGCCAAAGAATTTATAAAACAACACCCATGTATATTGCAACCCCATTTTCTCCCTGTGCATAAAGCGACTGCTATGTCAACTGCACATGCCATTGCACTGAGCTCATTCGGGGCGTGTGTTTGTCAACCGAGTTCCAACAATCGCCAAAGTCGAACGATCGATCGATCAGACCCCAGAACCAAGACCTCAGAGGGGTCCAAAGAACTGCTGGGGTGCCGGAACCGAGACCCATAGAGCCGAGACTACGATAAACGCTTCAACCGCATGTGCAGGCCCATTGAAATGCTGAACGAATCAGAAACGGAATCAGAAATTGAAATATCCATATGGATTTCAGCGCGGAATGCGAGTGCGCATTGAGCAGATCAATAAACATGACAGCGTAAACGATCGTTAAGCCGAGCAGTGAGGAATGCGAAACAAATTGGATCTAGAGAGATCTCAGAGATCAGGGAGAAAAGCCCAACTATCTATTCTTATTACTGAGAGAGGTATATACCTTAACCTTGATAAAATTCTAAGGATCTTGTATCATGTATCTTGTTTTATCAACCCTTTATCTTTATTGGGTAATGCAATGGAATGGAATAACGAAGAATTAAAATCATAGACACGAAATGAAGTAGGATATTTATAGGTTTCTACTTATCAATTTAAGATATCTGATTTTATAAGCTGATGCAATATATCCGACTCTCTCTCTCTTCAGCGAAAGCGCCTAAGAAGTCCCTTTCAACCCACACACTCCACTCCATCGAGCGATTCTTCAGCATTCTTCAACTCTCTTCTGTGAGAAGACGAAGTGGCGATCTTTTGAGTCCGAGTTAAGTGCTCGAGCACCGAGAGGCTCTCAAACTGGATTCGCATTTTATTGAAAGTGTTTCGAGCGCTCTCAGCTCGCCAACTAATGAATGACGATCGGATCGGATCGGCGAGCGGTAACTTTTGACGTGGAATATTTTGCTCATGAGCTGGCCCCTGGCGAGACCGAGACCGGAATGGACTCAACTGAAAAACCGGAGCGGGTTCTACGTGAGTCTGGGCCTTTTAATTACCGATAGAACGGCAAACTGGCGTCAATGGGGCGGCCAGAAATAGTTCAGTTCGAATCGGTTTGGTGGCATTTTCACACGCTGGCCAACGCGGCGGATGCGCGTCATTGAGAACGGGGCCCACAAGTGTCATTTGAAAAAGGGGTGTGACAGTGTCGTCACGCAAATGGGCTTAGCCTCAGCCGATCTCTGACTAAAGGGGGAAAAAGTCCCCGAAATTGCCCGTTTTGGGAACGATCGTTGGAACTTTCCTAATGATACTCTTTATCTTTACATCAATTTGTTTATTTTTTAGTTATATCAACTTTTAAACATTATTAAAAATATGGTTTCCTTTTTGTATCAACACAAACAATTATAAAAGCAAGGTGGAACTAATATTATTATGATGTTTTCGCAACGTGCGGGGTTTTGTGGGCCATCAAATCGGCGAATAACTCGGCGTCTTTTTGCCAAACCACGAATTTCGAATAGGAGAAAACAGAAATCAGAAATGAGAGGAAGAAGCGGCGGCGAATAAAACCAAACAGCGGCAAATGCCGAATTCCGAGCTGCGGAATTCCACTTGCTGTGCCAGTTATGGCCAAACAATTTGGTGTCTTTGAAATGCGTGAAATGTCCCCGCCGATGATAATAATGAAAATGGTTGGATGGTTGGTTGGCTGGTTGGTTGGTTGGTTGGATGGTTAGTTGTGATGAGCAGCCAACAGGGCGGAGTGGGTTAAAAGAAACCAGCGCACACGTCGTCGCTTGGCTTCAGTTGGCTTGGCACCACATCGCACCACTCCGCACCACTGTGCACCACACCCCGCTCAAGCGAAATGCCCAACTGGGCGGAGGTGGCAACGGTGGAGGAGGCGATGGCCTCCGCAATGAGAGCAGCAAACAGCAAGACACAAAAAGGCAGCCGCAACGTGTGCCGCATGCCAAATCGAAGGCGTGCGAAACTATGCCTGCCGTAATACCCTAGAAAAATTAGCACTGCTTAAAGGGAGTTTCGGTTTAATAAAAGATACACGGATAATTCCTCCATAATTCAGATCTTTTCCACAGATTTTAGTTAAGTATAAGATTAAACTTAGATCCATTACATGACCCATTATACCACAGAAAAGGTCCCCGATTCTATCGTATCACATATATTAACACATAAAACATTTTACTACCGTCTATGTCTAACAGGAACCACCATAACCTGCATACTTTAAATGTTAAATTTCTGTAGAGTCCATCGAAACCAGTTGATGTATAAAATCAGTCTTATCAAAAGCCTAGATCGCATTAAAGATCAGCATTGATTTATTTAATAGTTGATTAAAGTTTATAGCTGCCATATTTCTCTCGGTCAGTACGGAATAAGCAGGCTTTCGAATTTTTCTTCTCTCTAAATTGCATGATTGTTAAAACTACATTTTTTATACGAACACACAGATAAGTATACTGGGTTCAAGACAGCGTGGAATTCGTGGCTATAATTACCCGAACTTGAGTGCCCCCTTAAAGGTCATTCATTAGTCTATCCCCAACTGAATGAACTGGCAACGCCACGCTATATCTATATCTACATCTATATCTCTGTGTCAGCCTCGACTCCGATTGTCATTCAAAATTTGTTTAATTTGTTGTACATTTTAATTGCTTGAATTGTTCGGAACAACAGCCGCACTTGTGGCTCTTTATGTACATACGCATATTGACTGCGTGCAGGAATTTGGGTTTACGAAATTATTATTTTAAGTATTTATTATCATTGCTGTTGCCGTTGTCAGTTTCAATGCAAAAGCCCATTGCCTGAGGTCAAGTGCGATGTGGATGTGGATGTGGAGATACGATGGAGATGTAGATGTCAGTGCTCAATCGAAAAACCACAAGCCTACAACTACGAAACGGGGAATACATGTGTTCAGGGCGAGATATAGATACGCCTGTGCGCAGATACAGTTACCCATATGTATAATTGCCTGTTGGCAAAATCGTTTAACGATTAGCGTTTAGGGTTTAACCGCTTAAAGCTCATCGCCTGATACCCAAAGCGTGTGTTTCCAGCCGTTTGTTTATCTTTCGCAGCTGATTTACATTCGAGATGTCTGATGGCCGGGCGGGCTCTGATTTCAGCTATTGTCCCCTGGATCCCGATGGCCAATTGAAATCCCAAACCCGGGACAAACAACGATCCCCATCCCCAACGGGGGCTTTAATTTCCACTTAATTGCTCCGCTGTCGATCGTTTCAGACAACACTTTAAGCACTGCCCGGCAATTCGTAGAATTTAACCCACTAGAAGCAATTGATCTAGCCCACTAGGAGATTTGAATTCAATTTTAAATCGTATGGGCGAATTCTGTGCGAATAAGTGGTTCAGAAATCTTGCGTTATCCAAAAAATACGAATCTCTTAGACCCAAATATCTACAATTATCAATTAATGTATCAGTTGTATGCAGATACACAGATAATATTCAGCGCAAAGCAACTTCCCTACCTCGATGTACCCTTGTGGAGTGTCAAATTTGCCTTACATTTGATACTCCGTGGGGCAAAATGGGTTAATTGCACAATTTGCTGGATTTTCGACTCTTTAGCGGGGCGCAAAAAAAAAAAACGTAAAAAGCTGGCGACAACAACGAAAAGTTAAACAATCGTTGGACGTTGGCGATTTTAAGGTTGACAGATAAGAAATTCGCTGGCATTTGTTTTGTTTGCCGTTTCGGGGAGTCATTAAAATTCCGGGGAAATGGGCCCCATAAGGGTTATAATACTCTATATATACATATGTCTATCCCTTTCTCACCTTAAGCCGCTGCAGTCGTCGGCATCGTTGTTGTTGCTGTTGTTTCTGTTTCGCGTAATCCACAATAACTGAGTTTGTAATTTGTAGTTTTGGGTTTTGAATCTCACTGTGCACTTTTGAACAGATCTATCGATTTGGCTATCGATAAATGCCTAACAGTAAAATTTTCGTTTCGTTGTTGTTATTTTCTGACCTCTTCCACGACGCGCGCTGCGACTGCGCAGTCAACAGCGAACGGGCCGCATTCCAGCGTCGCTGGATAGGGGGCGGGGAGGGGTAGGGGCGGGAACGCGGGTTGAGTGTGGGAGAGGGAGAGCACACACTTTAATCAAAATTCACCAACACCAGTGCAATGCGAGTATCTGTGTGCGCGCCTGCTCTCTCTCTCTCTTTGGAGTCGTTGTTGTTGCGCGAAAGAATGCCGTTTGCTGGGTTGTTGTTTTTGTTTTTGCTGCCTGCTTTATTTTTTGTAGTGTAGTTGTAGTTGTAGTTTCCAGTGTCCAGTTGTTGTTGTAGCTGGATTTTTTTTGACCAGCGCCAACTTTTTGGAGTTGCTTTTTTGAGTTGATTTCAGCTTTTTTTCACTGCTAGTCGGAGTTATTTTCGTGGTTTTAAGGCGCGTTTCCCCGAAATCAGCACTAGTTGCACCTACACCAACACAAAAATCACTTTTGTAATTTAAGCGAGTGCGAAAACGAAACGCGCTGTTTTTTATTTCAGTGAAAACCGAACTTCACTTTTAAGCCACTGTATCTGTGTATCTATGTGTGTGTGTGCATCCGTATCTGGGCGAGCTGGTGTGTGTGCGTGTGTTGTGTGCAATTGAAATCTGCAGATCAACTTTTCCGAAAGTTTCGAGTGAATTTTAGTAAACCGTATTCATATTTCCTAGTGGAAACCACATGCTTTTCTACACCGGCGATCCACTCGGTTACCGTCGACGTTCAGTGATATACCCCTACTGATTTTGTCACTGCGAACCAAGCACCGCACAGCGAAAGACACGGACGCAACAATCGCCCTGCTGGAAGATCGAGAGACTGAGCGAGCGAGGTTGCTTAAATAGATTTTTTGAGCGCAGATTGCACTGTGGGGAAAACTACCAATGCTTGTGGTGAAAAGCAGAGCAACATATAAAAAGGCAATTGTTGAAATAAGTTGACATATGATATTTAAAGGAAGTCTTTTTAATGGGTAGGACGCACATTACTTTATATAACTTTTTTTTTTTTAATAACAATTATTTTAATATAAGTAACAATTATTTAAAACAAAGTGGTATACAAAATTAGTTTAATTTGTTTACTTGGAAAAATACCAATTGTAATTTTTCCCCTTACTTTAAAGCAAATTAATAAAACAGGTGGGTAAGCAAAGTACTGGATATTTGCATTTTCAAAAATTGAACAGAGAAAGTACTCGTTTGCCCACGGTGGATTGGTTTAAGTGAGCGAGAGAGAGAGAGAGAGAGAGCGAGACGAGAGAGCCAGAAGAGAGTATCTGTATCTGTATAGTATTGTATCTGAGATTTGAGATTGGAATGTGAGCAAAAGAGAGAGATCGGCTCAAAATTAAAAAATAAAAAGACAGAAAAAACTCGCACACAGTTACAGTTACATCTATGGCCCGTATCTAAAAAAAAAAAGAAAAACACAAATCCAAGAGCAACAACAACCGCCACGAAAAATGTAAATAGCAATAAGCAATAAAAGAAAAATAAACTTCAAAGGAGAATCCCAGTAGCCAACTGCTTTTGTGTGTGTGTGTCGTTGTGAGAGTGAGTGGAATTCCAATGGTTTATCTCGCGAGAAGAAGAAGGAGCGACTGGGGTGGGGACAGATTGGGAACGGGCAGCCACAGCCACTGGAATGTGAACCCTTCAGGAACAAAACCACCGAGCTAACGATTCTCAAGGGCTTAAATACCCAGGATACCCTGTAAAGGTAGATACTTCATAAACAGAAGGGCTCCCAAGATTTCTCTCTGAGGAATTTGAAGTTATATCAACCAACAGCTTATAACAAAGCGAAGAACTACCGATTCCTGAGAATCTGAAAAAAAAACTAAATAGCTTCAAGATTCAAAAGTATAAAGACACCCTTGATTTAAGTAAAAGGAATATGAGACCTGTAAAAACCAATTAACCATCTGAAAGCAGTACAGTTTCTTTTATGATTATTACAACCGTAGCGAATCCTTTACTTTTTTTAGAATGACTATTTTTTCAACATTCACTTTTCGTAAAGTAGACACTTGAAATAAAATATTACTCACAAGACCATGACAAATCTTTAAATTTTTGTCATTGCACTTTTATTGGATTAGTCTTGGATAATAAGTAGGCTTAAATCATGTGACTTTCCTTAGTCAACTTCCAAGTCTTATGTACAAAGTTGCAACAATACACGATTTGACAGATCATAAAACCATTGAGAGCCTACTAAATTCAAGTCTAACTTCCAGTATTCCTTCGCTCGCTATCGATGCGGCTATCTTCCAAACAAACTCCGTGGACAGAACCCCAGATACATAGATGGCAGAAGAGGGGGATGGGGATGGGGAGAATCAGATCTTGAGGGTCTGAAGACTCTGCCTCGGCCGGCGTCCTCTGCTGCTACGATATCGTCACTTGGGCGCATTCCTCAGCATAATGTGAGCTTGATTTGCTGGATTCTTTTTGTTCGCTCCCGCTCTCTCGCTTGCACTCGAAATTCTTTTTTCGTGGGTTTTGTTTTCCTTTTTCTCTTGCGGCTCCCTCTTCCTTCTTCTGCTTCAGCCTTTTTTCCTCCTCCTCCTTTTCTCTCCTTCCTTTATATGCTTCAAATATGCGGCATACACACGCCCCACGAAAGGGGCGGGGAAAGGGGGAAGACTCTGGGATTTAGCGAGGACGTCAAAGGGGTCTGTAAGCAAAATTAAAATTAAATTTCATCTAAAGTATTTTTGTTGTATTTATATTTTTAAAAGAATCAGGCCGAACTTTTCAGTTACTGGTTCTTAAGTTTACCCCGTTTTGAATCCTGGCTACGCCCTTGGAGTCTTGGCCAGAAGACGGAGTAAGACTCGGAACCAGAGAGTCGAGAACCGAGAACGGAGAACGGAGAACAGAGAGAGCACGTTCTTGACGGGTCGGGGGTCGGGTCGTCTTTCCATGGTCATAACTTGTTGACTGAAGTCAGGGAAGGCGGCGGCATTGGGGCGGGACATTCCGGGGAGGCGGGGGAACGATGGGAACTCTCCGCTCAGCCTTTGATTTCTTCGAGTGTACTAGGTGGTTTGGGGTGTGCTGTGCACTATTTTCAGTAGTAGGTGCTGAAATAGATGAAATCTTCAAAAAAGTTTCAAAAATTATATAGATGATTGGAAATACCCAAGCTTTATGATTCCGAATTATGTTTGCTCATTGACTACATTTATCTTCATAGAGGGATAACATTACCTTCCTCGGACCAACCTAAACCCCTTCTACAGACTTAGAGTAGTTCTATCTTCGACTTCTTGAAGCCAAAGCTTTTCATTCTTGTTTTCATTCTTTTTTTTTTTGTTGCCGTTCGTTATTCTTTCGTCTTTGGTCGCTGGTTCTCTAAGACCGGTTGTTGTTGTTGCTGTAAGCTGCCTTTTGGGCGCTACGTTCTTGGTCAATATTGTGTAGATATACGTTCTATACGTGTGGTTGTGGCTGTGCGAGAGGTTTGGAGCCTGGTCGAGGCCGAAGTTTCGACCGCAGCGAGGAGAGCGAAAAAAAATATAAGAAATGAGCAAAAATGTTAATGTTTTATGCAATTCCTTGAAGTCGATTTCAGTCTCCGGGTCCAGAATCTCTTTTGCGGAATTGGCGCGCAATTCTGGCCTGTCTTTTTGCGCGTGTTTTTTCTTTATTTTTTTGGCGAAGTGATCTTTCAGCCAAGAGCAGCTGCCATTGATCCTCTTTCTATTCAAAATTCCTGGGGCTCTTTTCGGTTTTGGCCAGAGCCAAAAGTCGTTGGCGATGATGATATGGCGAGGAGGCCAGGAATTTATTGAATAAGTTGGCATATGACGCGGGTACCAAACCCTCCGAAGTGTTGTGTATGTGTTGCTGTTTTCTGTTTCTGGTGTGTTTTCGTTACGCTTCATTGCTGTCGATGGTTGGTCGATATCGCCGATTGTCGCATACTTTCTACCCTTTCTTGTTGAAGACTCTAGCTAGGGGGGATAGCTTGGATAGGTGAATGTCTTCTTACCATATCTCCTTACAGAAAATTTAAATAACTATCAAAGTCGATAGTTCTAGCTGGAGGGAACAATTCGGAAAGAGATGATAATGAATATTTGATAACTTATTATTATGAGTAAAAAACCTGAGCATGAACATGCACATATTCTTATCACTTCCGATCGAGGGTATCGTAGGGTTCGATGAGTTAACGATTAGGTTTCCGCTTCGATTCGCTGCTCGATTCGATTCGCTTTGTTTTGTATTCTTTTTATTATGGTCAAATATTTCTGCTGGCCACGATAATGTTAATGGAGAGCCCCTGCCCTCTTTCACCACTTCGTGCTCGGGTCATCATCGATCGTACCTTCTGGCCCAGGTATTTTTATTGCCTTTGTTACACTAACTCACTTCCTATTCGGATCGTTGGTATTTCGGCTACGCTGTAGTTGTTGTCACTGGACTTAAAGGAGGGGCGGGATGGGGCGGGGTCACCCGAATGGGCGAGAGTCTCAACTTTGACCTTTGACTGCCCCATGGAGATTTGTTTATGTGAACTGCGGAATGCCGAGCACTGGAAGAAACACTAGGTGCCTTAATGCTAGTAAAAGTTTTGGAAAAATGTATGCTTGTACCACGACTTTCGGTCAAGTGTACAGATCCAATCCAAAGAGTCTAATCTGCCTACCCTACTTTCACTCCATTTCCAGTCGGCATCGCGACTCTTTGGCATCTCATTCGATTCAATTCGATTCGATTCAATTTATTCGAACCAAGCTTTTCTCTCTCCTCTCTCTCTCGGGCTTAGTTAGCGAGCGGGAATCCGAATCCGAATCCGACTAAACTGCAATGAAATTTCAGGCTGCCAATCGATTTTGCCGCTGCTGTAGCTTGGGATTTGCCTTTTTTGGGCCTTGGAATGCAGCGTGTTGCTGCTGTGTTGCTGCTGGTCCTGCTAAGCCCCCGGCAGCAACATCGACGGCAGAAAAAGCAACAGCAACAGCAGCAGCAACAGCAACATACAACATCCAACGGCAGCAGCAACAATGTGTTCTAAATAAATTCCAGTGAAATGAAATTCAGGGAGCAGGGGCTCGAGGAGTCGCAGATGTATCTTGCAGATACAAATTCTGTACGCTGCGCGCAACGTGATTGCAATCTTTAGCATCGTCATCATCATCAGCAACAGCAGCAACAACACACTGGGAAGTGCTCGACCTGGCGATACTAGGGAATTTTAGGGTTAACATATAAGGTTGAAGAATGTTTTAAGGGAATATTTTATTTAAGAAATCTGTTCAAGCCTTACTTTAACTTACTGAATAGCATTTCATTTCACATCTCATTACTGCAGCACCTTGCTTACATCAACTACAAAGTGTGTCTTATGTACACACTATAAATCCCTCTCCCGTTACCCTGTAAATACCGGCTAACAGCAAGAAGAAGAGCAACACGAGGCACGAGATTCGAGGCTGCCAAGGCCCCAAGGCCCCCAAAAAAAGGAAACAAACACACACACTATTAAGGCAGCCAAACGCAGCAGAGGACGTCGACGGCAACGTCGCGCGTGCGCAGCTCGAACGGATGTATACACTGAGAAAATAGGTATGATAATATAATACGATTCTTGCATAATATCATTGAACCAGTTGTTTGTACTGACCGACATTCATCATCAACAGTATTAACATATAAAATATTTCAGGAGTAAACTATAACTTAACACACAAAAATTATTAGGGGAAACAGAAAGGTGTACAGCATAAGGGAATTCCTTAAGAATAGTTATTTTTATTAATTTTCAAACGACTACCGCATAGGAATTATATAATCTTTTTTCTAAATTTTAAGGATTTGGATTCCAAGAGATCTTTATTTTTTTCGAGTGTGCAAATTGTTTGGTTGTTGTTGACTTACCTGTTTTGATCTTTCTTTTGCTTTTCCTCCTTCAGAGGAGATTTCTTCCTCGGGAAGATGGTGGAGCATGGGGGGAGGGGATATATGGCCGCTAAAAATCGACAAAATCAACCAAGGTCCGTACAGTAGCTGCTGCTTTGCCTCCGTTTGCTTGGCTGCTCTTTTTTTATGCTTTTAATGAGCTTTTATATGGGCTGCCCAGGATCGGGAGCATGAAGGGGAGGAAGTGGGGAAGGGAAGGACCCGTGGCAACCTAGCTGCATCTCCATGTCAGCCGAAGAAGATGATGGTGCTTTTTGCTCTTGCGGTCTACCCACAACAAACCTAGACATCGATTCCTTCTCGGCTATCAATGGATTCGCAGTAATGTATTTGGTTCCCATGGGTTAACAGAAGAAAGAGGAGAAAAAGGGGGTTGGGTGGCTTTTTATTATGGTAACACAGTTTTAGGCAGAAATAGAAATAAACCGCAGAAAAAACACTTGTTCAAACAGAGGCGTGTGAAGGGTATGGAATGTACATGTACTATTTCACACATGACACATCTCCTCAGAGGAATTTACTCTATAAAATCAGGTTGGTAACCAAACTACCCAAAAATCACCTTGGCTTAGAACTTGAGTCTTGTAGTTCTATAAATATAAAGTTTATTTGATCTGAGGTTACTCAGCTTTGTAATTATATTTGTAGATAGCTACAAAAATCCAAACTTAAAGAACTGGATACGTTTCAGTTCGTTCAGCTCGTGCGCAAAAAGTATTTGAAAGCCGGGGAAAGGAGGGTCTCGAGTGGTCGGGGTGGAAGTGTTGTAGTATCTGGAGTATCTGGAGCCCCGGCGAAATACCTTTCTCGACTCGACTCCACTCACAGCTCAATCTGCAGCTGTCAGGTGTGGCCGGCTAATTGAGAGTCGCGTTACGAGATCATCTTGACACTTTGGAGGCACCTGCCGCCGGACGAGGCGAATCCGCCAATGATTAACTAGTCACTCCGATTGGGGGGCAGGTGACTTCGGGTGACTAGTGACTAGTGTGCTGCTGAGCAGTGCTGCAACTTGCTGGCATGTCTGTGATAAAAAAATAAGTAAAAAGCCCGTCAAGTGCCCGCAAACGCTGACGCATTTCGGCCCAAAGGCTGATAAGCCCAGTCAACGCGAATTCAATGCCAAAAAGAAAACGAAACTCTCCTCGAAAACGGAAACGAGCAAATACAAGATACAGATACAGATAGAGATAGAGATACAGGTAGATGTGTGGACACAGATACACATGTACACCTCAACAAAATGAGTGTGGATTCGCATTCAAAGTTAGAAAACAAACAAGCTCGCCGAAAAACATATTAAATAGTGTTTGAACTGAACTTTAGTTAGATATGGTTCTAAAAATATATGCCTAAATAAATGTCAAATATTAAATTCAATCAAGTTCTGGCATCATAAGCTACCAAATTAACTCGGAACTTGGTCCTCCACTTAAAGTTTACACCATATTTATGGGTCTAATTTGCATCTCTGCGGTTTGTATCCGTTTTCAAGACACACGCTCTCAATAAGCACATCTATAATTCATGGAATTTATTGTTTTTCCGAGTGTGTGAACTGTAAGTTGTTTTTTTTTGGCACAACTGGAAGCTCGAGAGCGTTATTCAAATTTCGATTAGCATCTTGGCCCCCGAACCGTGGGATCTGTAATCCCCGCCTAAGTAGAACTGGGGGCTCAGTATTCCAATAGTCTGGCCCCTTCTAGGCTGATAAATATTTGGCTTTTGCGTGCCAGCGCGATGAGTTCAACGTCGTCGTCGGACGTTGCTCATTTAATTTTCAAACATTTATCAACAAATATTTGGTGCTTATCATTTGTTCGAGTCAAACAACGGGTGGGCGCGGAGGCGGAGTTGTTGGGCCAGTGGTTCTGGGACACTCCCCACCAGAAGCCACATCTTCGGCTCCAGCATCAGCAGATTTGCTGACCCGAACACCTGACAAATGGCATAATGATTCCACAAACTTGGATTTTTGCACAACATTTGCCGAGGCTTTTCTGCTGAGTCCGCTAATTGAAATGGTTAGAACGGTAAGCTTATGTAGGTGGGTGGGTCTGGGGTCTCAGGTATTTCAAAACATGAATCAGTTTGCATTGACCATAAAGAAAACGAAAGTCATTCATCGGGTACAATCATCAAGTTTTGGCACTTAAGATCAACAATTTCTCACTCAACGGGTAAATTTGATTAGAACTGCTTATCCTCAACAACGAAATGTTGTTTAATGTTTATTATATTTAATTTGTTAGAAAGATTTGTTCAGTTTAACTAAACCATGATGTCCAATCGGATCTATAGCTTATAGTGCACATCCATGAACTGCAAATTGGTGGTTACCTCCGAGGCCTCGGGCATCACATCCTTGGCTGCATTCAGATAGGACTTGGCCCCCAAAATATCCCCTGACTGGGCTGCTAGTACAGCCAAGTTATTTAGTGCAGCACCATTCTGGGCATCCGAAGTCAGGCATAATTGAAGGCATCTTCTGGCCAGGTTGAAGTCACCAGAAGTCTATGATAAAGTAAATGGAAACTGATTAAATCATCTAAGTAATAAAACCTGACACAGACATCACTAGTGTTTTGAAATCACATGAAAAGGTGTCTAAAAGTATGCTTCAAAAAATGTGTTTATTCACCGAATCATGTACCTTTGGAGTCCAAATATATTGTTGCATACTTTTAGACACCTCTTAAAAATATTTTAAGACTCCAGTATTTTATATGAGTTTTACGCAATAGACAAGGGTTACCTAACAAAGGGTCATCTTACCACCGCTACAAAGCTGAGATTATACCAGATGTCCGCCTTTTGCGCGGGTTGAGTGGCCATAGCCAATGCTCTTTGGAAACACGGCAGAACCAAATCGATTTGTCCACCATATAGACAGCACAATGCTATATTGCAGTAGAGCTCCGGAGACTGGGCTCCCAAAGACAAAATTCTCCGGTAGTACATTAGCTATGGTAAAATGAACTTGTCAGTATGATAAGTGCCACCCCTAGATGATAATTATTACCGCCATTTCCGGATTATTGTCGTAGAAGTAGCCCACAGCAATGCTGGCCAGGGATTCCACATTGATTGGCTGCAACTTGGCCACCAGTCTGTACAGCTGAAGTGCATCTTCCTGCTGTTCCATCGCCTGATGAATCCTCGCCTGCTCCAGACGGTAGGTGACATCGAAGGGTCGCGTGTCCACCACTTCGCTGATCACGAACAAAGCCTTCTCTGGTTGCTTAATTCTTTGGTAAACTCTGGAGAGGAGTAGATAGGTATCCGGATGGGGAAAGCTGGCCAGGGATTGCTGAAGAAAGGGCTCCGCTCTGCGAGGATAGTGGAGAGCCAAGAGGCATCGGCCCATCTGCTGTTGCCACCACCAGGCCACGTTGGATGCACTGGATCCACTGGGCTTCTGGCGCTGAACCTCCAGAACCGCTTGGCAAAGGGAGTGGGCCTTTTGCACATCCGCTTCGTGGTAATAGAGGAACTGGAACAGGGCCTTCACCAGGGTCTCCCGTTCGGCATAAATGGTAGGATTGAGACGGGATGCCTGGTAGAGTTTTGAGGTGGCATCACCCACATTGAAGGCCGCTGCCGAGGTGGCGCGAACTCTTGAGGCAGTGCCGCAACGGGAACCTAGAGAAGATCCTGGTCGACTGAGACTCGTGCCAGGACGAGCCACCGCCGCCGATCCTGGTCTGGAGCTATTCAGGCGACCATCGCTGGAGTGGGCCACGCCGGAACCCCTGCTCCTCGCCTGCTGCGCCCGCTGACTGGTGAGGGGGCGTGGCTGGAAGGCGGTCTTTATGCTGCTTCCCGGTCTAGCAGCGGTGGCTATGCGCTCGAACTCCACCTCCTCGGTGGCTAGAGGGGTTATCAAACGATTAAAAAATTTAAATAATGCCGAAATTGTCACCTACTCACCCTCATCCCCGGCCTCGTCCTCCAGATCGTCCAGGTAGACGCGCTGCGTCAGGGCGCGCATCTTTAATTGCCACACGCCCTCCATCAGCCAAGTGGGCATCATGATGGATGCCCCAGAGTCGGCTGCCCCAGCTGCTCCTCGCGGCCTGGGGCCAATGCGCTGCAAATTGCTACCGAATCTGCTGTGCTCCGCCTGCTGCTGCTGCTGCTGCTTTGGGTCCACCACCTCCTCCTCCTCCTTGGTGGCAAACAGTTGGACATGCCCATCGTGACCGGCCTGCAGGAGTGCGTTGCACAGCTCCGCACAGCGCTCGTAGGAGCGGCGGCGGTAGAGGGAAACCGCCCTGAAGTAGTCCAGCTCCAGAGTCGCCAGCGTCATCGTCGTCGTCGTCGTCGCCATCGATTCGCGTCCTTCGCTTTCAGCTGTCACACTGCAAGAAATATATATTTCGGTTAAGTTGGAGAACAAGAAATTTTAAGGGCTTTATTTTCTAATAATATTTTTTATAAGAATATATATAATATACAAATATGTTCCAAAAATGTAGGGTACGCCAGCATGCACAGTATGCATTGCAAACACTTCTCTTATAAACTTACAAAAAGCTATCGAATACTTTCGGAAATTTTAACAAATAAGCTTATGAACACTAAAAACAAATATCTTTACATTTAAACATCTATCGAATTCAAAGATACTTTAAGAAACTAGAATTTTTTTCAAGTGTATTGTGTATCTGTGTCCGATTCAAGTGTTTGAATTCCTTGGCTTGGTTCCTTTTTTCGGGTTCTTTTGCTGCGCTTCGATCGCTGGAATTTTAAAACCGGATGCGTGTCATTCCTCTGCCCCTCGAAGACCGAAATCCAGGGGCAGATCAGGAATGTGGCTGCTGCTTCCTGCGGTTATTCTGCTCTCCTTTCGCCGCTCCTCCTCCGGATTCCTCTGGGTTCGAATCTGGTCTTAGTTCTCGGCTCGTCTGCATGCCATCTAATTTTTCTATGCCCATAATTTGTACCTCCCGCCTACCTCTTTTCCACGGGACTTAATTTGTGGATTCCTCCGCTGCTGTGGTTTCTTGTATCGACTGACTGGCCGCCTCTGGCTGGTATATGTATGTATATGCGCCATATGGAAAGGGTCTTCCGGTTCGGTTCGGTTTGGTTTGGCTAAGTTCGGGGTGATTGCCATGGAGACCCGGTCGGCCAAAACATTAATTGGTTTTGTAGTGCGCCTGTCTGGTCCCTGGGGAGTCACCCTGTCGGAAGAATCTGGCTAGACCACCCTGTGCATCTACCTGGCATTCTAATTCCGATTTCAGTCCTAATCATTAAAAGTTAATGGCCTATGTAGGTAATATAACCAACTATTTGCTCGCACAATTTCCCGGAAGCATCTTTACTCATGGGAAAATCAGTTTTCGGAAATGTTTGAAAACTTTATAAGGGAAGGCAGTACTTATTGATTGTTTTGTTATAAGATCTTATTAAATATTTGCAAAGTTTTTATTAGGGCCTCTGCAGCCAATCGTAAATGGTATCCAAGCCCACTTTGGTCACCGCGCTGGCCTCCACAATGGTCACCTGCTGGCGGATCTGCTTCTGCAACTTGGACATCTGCAACATGAGCAGTGCCTCGTTTCGCATCTGGCGGTAGGAGTAGTCCATTTTGGCCAAAACCAACAGGATCTTAGTATTGTTCCTAAGAATAAATAAAAAATTCAAATATTTTCATTTCCTTGTTAGCCTTACTCACTGCAAACGCGGTTCGGTGAGAATTGAATAGAAAAGAACACCGGCAGCGGAGATCTGGCAGAGATTAGAGGTGTCCACAACGTAAATCAGCTTCTTGACGTCCTCAAAATACTGCCGCCACAAGGGAGCCATACTTCCTCCGATCTCCAGGATCTGTATGGACTTGGGCAGGTTTTTCCCGCCATGCGGAATGTTAACCTGAGTATCTGCAGGAGGTGGCCTATTCTTATCCCCATTCGGCGACTTTGTTGGGAAATGAATGCGATAGATCCCGGTTCCAATGGTGGGCATGGAGAATGTTGTCTCGTCGATGGAATCTGGATCCTGTAGGGCTTTTAGCAGGTGTGTTTTACCCGCTCTTTTGGGACCCAGGCAAATGCAGGAGGACATTTCTGTTTATTTACATTGCTTATGGATCTAACAGAGGTAGCCTTGGCAACCAAAAAATACATTTAAAATCGACAAGAAATTTAAGATTATGTTTATAATGTGCCCCAACTAAAAATTTGTTCTTACTGAAATCGGATGACTACTTTCCGGATTTACATTCTAAGTATATAAAAATCCATTTGAATTCAAATCCGATAAGTAAATATATTACAGCAATTTATGTTATCGAAATGGCATGGCTTAACTCACTATTTTCCCGCTGGATGTCGCTGCGTATAATGATGAATATCAAATTTTGAAGGGCGCCCTCTTTTGAGATAATGCGCATCAGCTTGCTGGTATTTTTGTACCATACTGTCACACTTTATGCTGTCTCATTGTAAACAATTCAAAATTTTAGCATTTTCGCACAAAAATGACCCCCGCAGCAGATAAACCCCGGGAAATCGGCTTCGACAGGCAATTCTCCGCGGACGTGAATGGCGTGCCCACGGAGATAGTGTTCCACGGCTTCGCCAACAAGTGGTTCCTGGTCATTACGCAGCTAGGCAAGATTCCCGGCTTCTACAACGTGCACTTCGATGTCCAGCGGGACGAGCGGGTGTTGCCCTACCTCCATGGCCCCGTGGACAACCCTGAGTACCACGTCTCCGTGCCCATTGAGATGAACTGCTGCTTGGGCCTGGACACCGACGAGATCCGCAGCGCCATCCAGTTCTTGGTCAACCGAACCGGACTCCACAAGTGCCCCACGGACTTTGTGGTCGGGCTGGGCCTCAAAAACATCGACGGACCCAACCTGCGGGCCCTAGCCAAGGTTCTCGAGGAAGCGATCTTCTAGTCTACAATTTTCAGTACTATTAAATATTAGCTGCTACAGTTTTTGAACAAAAGTTTTGTTTGCCTTGTCTGTAATTACTATTCTTTTGTATCATAAAACGGAACGGAAATCCTAACGCTGTTATTTCTTATTGGTACTAAGGGAGTGCACATTAGGGCAAACCTTTAGTTACATTTCAGTCCTGCCAACTTAAAGCGATATCAAAAATATATCTTCAGCTCCAACTACGTCCAAAATTTGATCTATGTAGTTATAAAAACAAACATGTTCAGAACATTTTTCGGGCCTCGCCTTTTTAAAATTATTTGATAGGTTCTACTTCATGTTGAGGGTATGATCAAAATTGATACCTAGCCGGAGATCCTTAGTACTCAAGAACATCCACTTAATCTACACATAAATTCCTAGCTCTATCGACAAATAGAGCTAATCACACATAATTCCACAATCGTTCCAACAAGTAAGCAGTCTCGACACTTCTTTTTTAGCAAACGTCTTCTATATTTCCTCGAATTTGTACATTAAAACGTGTACGCGGGTCGGGAAACACGGGCACACGTCCGCCTCTCGAGGATTAGAGCACAAACACAACGGATGTCAGGTTGTCCAGAAGGTCTCTAGAGGATTTAGTCGAACAGACCGAAGCCCATGTCGTCGTCGGACTGGTCGGACTCCTCCTCCTTCTTCTTCTCCTCCTTCTTGGCCTCGGCGGCTGGAGCAGCGGAGGCGGCAGCGGGGGCAGCACCTCCGGCAGGGGCGGCACCGACTCCGGATCCGATGTTGGTGATCAGGTCCTTGACGTTGATGCCCTCCAGGGCCTTGGCGAAGAGGCCGGGCCAGTAGGGCTCCACCTCGACGTTGGCGGCCTTCAGGATGGTGTTGATCTTCTCGCCCTGTGGAGATTCCGAGAAATAACATTAGCACATGCTGCCGGCCCACTGCAGTCACCGCAAGGCCCTGGAATCCTCCAATACCCCAGCCCGATGGCTTGAGCTCCGGAGGATTCGCAGAGTCCACGAAATCGAAAAACAAGAACTTACGGTGACGGCAACATCGTCATCGACCAAGATGAGGGAAGCGTAGACGCAGGCGAGCTCGGCTTTGGTAGACATGTCGGAGTGCTGTGGCTAATCACTGATTGTGCAAGTTGCCAAAAATTAATTGTTTATAACAAATGGCCTTAGCTCGGTTGAGAACAAGCACGCTGGTCGAAATCCTAAACCGGAAAGAGACGGAAAGTAGGGTTGTTGAAGGTATGTCGATGCATAAATATTTTTTGAATAAAAATAAATATTTCATCGTGACGATATATCGCTACTATCGCTATTTTGCGCAATTGTAGCTAACGTAAGAGCCACGTAAGGCCACGTAAGTGTCAGGGAGATAGAGTAAAAAAATATCTAAATATAAACATATCAAAAATCTAATATTTATATCGTGTTAGCTAAGCGTGGTGCTAAGTCACATACTTGTTCAATAGTTTTAAATTTGAGTGTTGCCATTCCTTATGTATTTTTCAATAAACAAATAATAGCCGACAAGTTAAAAATTATGATTATTATGTTATTAAAAAAATTGTATAATATCCATACGATATTTTTTATATATTTCCACAACCCTAAAGAGAAGGAAGAGGTAGAAATGGAAGCGAAGCTGTCCAAATATCGCGGTTTATATTGATAGCATCGTGGGATCCGATTGTTTTTAATGATTCTCGTGGCGTCACTGTTGGCCCTCAATAGTCCCTATATATTTCACGACGTTTGCCTTAATTAAAATGTCATCCTTAATCAATTTGCTATTAGCAATGAAATTATCATTTGCAACTGAAAGCATTCCACATGTTGGCGCTCAAATTGTATTTAAATTTGCATTGTTTTGCATATCCCTTCGGATACGGTTTCCTCTTCAGCTGTTCGCTTCTGCGAATCTCTATGTGAACAGAATCAGCTTAAAATTGCAACAGCGATTTTTAAGCGAATGTGTGCAGGGGATAAATCACTTTTTATTTCATGAATACCCCTTCTTTGTTACATTGATCGGTGGAAGGAATAAAATGGTTCGCAAAAATGGTCACTTTGGAAATACAGGTTATAAGTGTGCCCATAGCCTTGTACAAAAATAAACAACAAAAAAGGCGCGCAAATATGTCGGACCAAGAAGATATAGAAATAAAGCAGGAAGACCAGACTATTGAGGATATAAACGAAAAGGACGAAAAGCGCGATGATGAGGACCTTAAGGACACTGACAAAATCAGCTCTTTGAAGACCCTGGGACCCTTTATAGCCGGCAAGGAGAACAGCAAGAACACGGTTTACCTCAGTGATGTTCCGGATGTTTGCAAAGATAAACCTTGCATGCTGGGGGTGGACGAAGCGGGGCGCGGCCCCGTCCTGGGGCCCATGGTATATGGAATCTCCTACTGCCCGCTGGAAAGCAAAAAGGCTCTCGAGGACTTGGGATGCGCAGATTCCAAACAACTGACCGAGGAGAAGCGGGATGTAATTTTCAACGATATCAACACCAAGGAATACGCCACCAGCTGCGTTGGCTGGGCCGTAGAGATCATATCCCCGAACACGATCAGCACGAGCATGTACCGGCGGTCCAAGTGCTCCCTGAACGAGGTTTCCATGGACTCGGCCATGGGCTTGATCCAACAGGCGATCGATGCGGGCGTCAATATAGCCGAGGTCTATGTGGACACGGTGGGTCCGCCGGAGAAGTACCAGGAGAAGCTACTCAAGCGCTTTCCCACCTTCAAGATCACCGTGGCCAAGAAGGCCGATTCAACATATCCCATTGTCTCGGCGGCCAGTATTTGCGCCAAGGTTACCCGTGACCATGCCTTGAAGGTCTGGAAGTTTCCCGAGGGCTTGGTCATCAAGGACAATGCCTTCGGAAGTGGCTATCCGGGAGATCCGGTTACCAAGCGATTCCTGACCGAGCATATAGATCTGGTGTTTGGGTTTCCCCGCCTCGTGCGCTTCAGTTGGTCCACGGCGGAAAATGCCCTGGCGGACAAGGCCTACGACATGGAGTTCGACGAACCGGATTCCGAGAAGCCCAAGTACGCCGGCACCAAGCTCACGAAGTTCTTCAAGGGCACCACCAAATCCGGCGAGGTTATTCGCGAGGAGTGCCGGTTCTTTAAGCAACGACATCTAGGAAATGTCATGGAGTTCTAGGAGGAAATGAAGAACTATATCTTATAGGCTACACATTTAGTATTTGTACTGTAATTCATTTAATATTGCTGAAAATGATTTATATATCTAAATCTTCTGCTATATTTATAAGACTTTGTTTTAATGTAAGCGATAACCTAAATAATAATCTCCCAGTTCCAGAAAAAAACGGATTAGTTTTTATCTTTAATGGATTTTGCGGATGTTTTTGTTTTTGCCATTCTCGGGTTCTTAATAATTCTTAGGCTTACGTTCGTTTACAGACTACGTGGTTCTGCAGTTACACTGTTCTGAATGTATGCGTGAATCTATCTGATCTGATCTCGTTTGATATCCCTATAGCTAGGACGAAGTGGGATTGGATTAAGGATTTTTGGAAGGGGTGCTGGCTGGCATCTTCGATCGACACAATAACAAAATGCATAAAGTTATACTAAACGATTTCTGTATAAAAAGGGACGACCTTAGAAACATAGAGCTTATAACTAAGTTTAAAAAGAGGCGAGTCGCATCCCGCAGATCGGAAGAGAACAACAACCAAGTTGGAGCCCTTGAAATACCAGGCGCATATCGATTTTGTGTGACTCGAGACTAAGCGTACGAAAAAGACGTGGACAAAAGCGGGAGGATCTCAAGAGTTTAACCTTAAAAAGCTAATTAGAACTTAAAGCAATTACAATTACAGATTGCAGGGCGGGATAGCTATGAATGAAGTTACATACGGCTCGGTTTCCAGTTCCAAATCGATTCAATTTCAGAATTGAAACTGATATTTCACTTTACTACATATAATAAATTTAATTTGTGAACGATAATCAAAAGTATAGAATTTCTCATTTTCAAAAGAAGTGAAAACCTACTGATTCAATCTCCACCGAATAATGAGTTGGAAAAGGACACCTGGCCAATATAAGCGTTTGCTCAAAAGACAAAATCCAACAGTGGCTGCTCCGGCAATCAGAACTTTCGCAGGTCCAAGACGAAAACGCTGCCATCGGAGGCACTTGCGCCGACCTTAGTTCCCTTGGAGTTCCAGCAGACCTCGAAGATGCCGCCGGTGCCCTTGTAGCTGTGCACCAGCTGTCCTGTTTGCGTGCTCCAAATGTGGACGCACTTGTCGAAGCTGCCGGAGGCCAAGTGCTTGCCATCCGGACTGAAGGCCACCGAGTAGACTGGCTCCGTGTGCTTGGTCAGCGTGTGGATGCAGCTACCCCGTTCCACGTCCCACAGTCTTACCGTGGAATCGAACGAAGCCGAGGCGAGGATCAAGTTTGTGTTTGGATTATTGGTTCCCGGCCCCGTGGGCGACCACTTTATCGTGTAGATCTCCTTGGAGTGCGCCTGCAGATCGTGGCAGCAGCGATCCCGGTTCATGCTCCAGATCTTCAGGGTCATGTCATCGGAGCAGGACGCCAGAAGCTGGCCCTGCGGACACCACTTGATCGCATTTACCTCGTTTGTGTGTCCTTTGAATGTCTTGATGGGTTCATTTACACCCAGCCTGCACACATGAATCCGCTGATCCGTACTGCACGAGGCGAAGGCCTGATTTGTCTGCCAGTCCACATCCAAGGCGGGAGCACTGTGGAAGGCGAATTGCTGCGTGCACTGACCCGTGGATGCGTCCCAGATAATCGTCGTCTTATCCACACCCGCCGAGAGGATGTAGTTGCCACACTTGTTCCACTTCAGCGCGAAGATTGGACCCTTGTGTTGGCCCAAAGTGGAGGCCAGCCGACCGTCTGTTTTCCATATCCGGGCATAGCCATCGTAACTGCCGGTAGCGAGCAAGGAGCCATCGCACTGCGAAAGACGGTGAAAAAATAAAGATTAATGCGGTCCATGGAGAGTAACCGGACCCTCGACTTACATTCCAATCCAGAGAGGTAACATCCTTGTTGCTGGGCACCTCGGCGCCGCCCTTCTGTATGCAGTGTCTCAGAACCAACTGATTGGAGTTGGTGTTCGCATCGGACATGTCCCATATCCTGGCTGTGCTGTCTCCGGAACCACTTGCCAGTAGATCCCTGCTCGGATTCCAGGCGCAGATGAACACCTCGCTCTCGTGGCCGCGCAAAACTCGAGCCTTGGACTCGGGTATTTCGATGCTCTCGTCGATGTCCATGGGCACAAGGGCGGCGGGAGTTCCGGCGCCTCCGCCGGTGGACGACGAGATGGTTCCACTGGGCGCCGAGCTCTGAGCAGTGGACGAACCCGCCTGAACATTGTTCCCTTGGGCCCCCACGCGAATCGTGACCGCTCCACTAGGCGCCTTCGTTCCCGCTGTCGTCGATGCTCCTCCCGCTGCTGCTGCGTCGGAATTGGAGGTGGATACAGCGCCCCCAGCGGGCGTCACCCCGCTTGAGGGCTGCTCTACGCTGCTGGAGGTGCTGCTATTGCCATTTGTGGAAGTGGAGGAGGCTGCATCATCGGTGCTGGTGGCATTCGCATTTCCCGCATTGCCGCCAGATGAGCTGCCCGCCTCGTTGGAGTTCTTTGATTTCTGTTGAGCTCCACTCGCTGCTGTTGAATCTCCGGAAGCCGGGGTGCTTGTGCTATTGGCGCCCGTAGTACTCGCTGGATTGCCTCCAGCCCCATTGTTTCCAGCGAAAGTACTGCCAGTGTTGTTTGCCGTGTTCCCACTGGAGTCCACCTCGCTGGGCGTCTGATCTGTGGGCGTGCTGGTGCCCGTGGTGCTTCCGGTGGCCTTGTTTCCAGCTGCTGAGCCCGCTGCTCCGGTTCCCGGTTCGATTTTAATCTCTGGCTTGGCGTTGCTGTTCTGGTTGCCACCGGCGGGGGCGGAGGAGTCCACCGCACCGGGTTTCCCCGGCTCCGTTTTCACAATGGGCTTGGGGGGCTTCACCTCTGGCATGACGGCGTCTATCAGCGAGAGTCCCTCGATGGGTCGCGCCACCTCGCCGTCCTCACCCACGCTCCACTCCACCTCGGTGTAGAGAAGGCCCTTCTGCAGAATGGTCAGCAGGGCGGCCGGCGGTACCAGGGCTCCATTGATATTGCTCTGCGAGATGTGCGACTCGATGCCAAACACATAGGCCGAGTGTAGAAAGCCTAGAAAACGCGGGGAATACAGAAGTTTAAGGCGGGCTCTCTTCGTCCGATTGGGATGCGTTACTCACCCGACTCCTGCAGGTATCGGTAAACCAGGAAGTTCACCTCGTCGCTGGAAAAACTCATGGCTGCCCGCGGTTGGCGTTGGCTCCTGCTACTAGCTCACTCCAAAATCTCCAGTCCTCGATGCCAATTATGTTTTTGCGGTGCGAAAATCGGAACTCTGCTGCGTAACACATGCGTCTGCCTTCGGCACGCTATCACTTCCTCGCAAGCAGCGAAATCCGGAGAGGCACCTGGTCGTTGGGTCGGTCTGGTGGGTCCTGTGTTCTCAATTCTGCCAGTTCGCTGCTTGCCGCAGGAGCATTTCACATATTTTTCCACAAATAAAAACCACGAATCGAAAACGCGTTTCTGAAACGCGCAAAAAAATGGCGGAGTAATCGCATGGTGTGCGGTGTGCGGGGTGGCGCAGAAGTGTATTTTTTGTGACGACAAAACCTTTGCCAGGAAGATAACTAAAACCATGGATTCAAAAGGTTAAAATATATAGTTAATTTAAACAGACTCCGACATATAGTTCATTGCGTTTTAAGACAAAAATCTATTGAGCCAGTATCAAAAGTTTTTCTCGCACTTGTTCTTTTTGACTTTGTTTTGAAAGAAGATCACAATCTCATCGATTTATTGTTAACATTTTGTTTTCTATAAATATTAAGGAGCCTTGGAAATATATTATTAATTTAATCAAACCTTTTGGTGTATTTTTTAATTATGTTCAATTGTCTTGTTTGTTTTACTTTTCTTTAATTATGTATTGTAATCATTATTTTATTTTGCTATCCATGGAGTGCCATCAAATAATTATAATTATGATAATAATGTTGAGCTATGACAGCTAGATGATGTTTTTCCAAATGGATTTATTTTATCAACTAAGTATAATTATTATAAGTTTTAACAATTTTATAATCTTTCTTATATAAAAAAAGACAGACGTGAATAATATGTTGGAAAAGTTACAGACCGCAGCACTTGCAATTTGTGACGTCACACTGTTGTGCATCGCCCAGCCCTATCGCACCCAGCCCTGAACACCACGGTACTTGCAGTATGGAGGCCTCTCGCGCCAACGGTCACTCTAATCGTTCCGTTCCACCCGCGCCCGCTAGATGGCTCCACACTCAGGCAGCGAGAGCGAAGAAAAATCAATAGAAATTTTCATTTTAGTGAATTGCCCAGCGCTCGGGAATAGTTAACAAACAAATTAGCGGCAAATCAGAGAGGCGAGGCGCCAGCCAGTTGGAGTTACGTAAAGTGCAGCACCCAGGACCAAACATTCCGCAGCCAACACCCCGGATTCCGGACTGCAGTTTCGATTCCAAGCGAAGCCAGCAACTCCAGAAATCTCCGATCTCCCCCGCTCCGCCGCAGAAATTCCGCAACGCCTGGCGATTTCGACCGCTGCGAGTGAAAAAATCGGAAAAGTAAGCCCCCAGAAGAATTCGGCATAATACGCCCATTAATGTTTAGTTTTCGGTGGCTTCTTTGGTGTTTTTTGGGCGAAACGCCTTCGTCATCCAGCGGGTGAAAAAGTGACGTGACATGAAGGCAAGAAAGAAGAGAAGCGCAGAGAGCGCAGTGAAAAACAGAAAATAAAACGAAACGGAAAGCGAAACAGAAAACAGAAACAGAAGCCGGTGGTCGTGCCGTCCAATATCAATCCAAAAGTAATGCCCAAGTGCACATCGCACTTCGCCAGGCGATAAAAAGTGGGCGAGAGCGAGGTCACAGACACAGAATCTTTATCAGCGTGCAAACGCTGCCAAGTTGCAAATAAATCGGTTGCCAAAAGTGCGGGGGCTCCACTTCCTCTCCCCCCGAAAATGTCAAAGTTCGCCAGGCATTAAGTGCACTGCGCGGAAAACTGAGATCGAAATACCCTGTGTAACTCGGTGATTAACTGTTCACAGATAAATATAAAGACACATTTCGTTTAAAGCTTTATCTGAGGTTCATACTGAGCGAAATAAATGGATACATATTTTGTGTTTAAAAGGCCGTGAGGTTTCATTTATGAAAAGTATCTTGGGAACACTCTAATAGAGATTTTGAGAATTGTGAAGTTTTGTTAAGATATTTATGATCAGCAAGATATTTCAAGGCTACAAGCTAATGCTATTGAAATTCAAAATTAATATAACTTTAATTATAAATACAATTACAATAAAATTTCCGCCCTTGGGTTTTTTTATTTAATAAAATATTGAAATCCAATAGTATTACTTATAAATCGATTATCTTTTCCATTTCAGGTCCCGCAGGACGGCAAAAATCCGGAGGAAGAGAGATATAGACGAACAGAGCAGAGAGCAGCTACTATATCTTCGGGTCCGACGTCGAGTTCGAGCGATAAGAACGCCTCGAGACTCGGCCGCCTTTTATCGACGATTTTCTTGCGCCCCCAGTTTGCATAAAACCAGCGAAAATTAACAAGCTAACTACCATGGCGCCGGTGCGGGGGGATGGCATGAGAGGCCTGGCCGTCTTTATATCGGATATAAGGAACTGTAAGTGCAGATCAGATCTCTTGGGTAACCACCATTAAATCCAATTGAGCGGGTCGCAACAAGAGATTTTCCATAGGGGCGGAATCAGCGCCATTTCTTGATCAATTACAGGAGCAGCGCACTCACAATAAAGTGGGGCGGCACAAAAACACACGCGCAGTACACGCTCTGTAGGATGAATGTGTTTGGAGTACCACAAAAAATAGCTAAATAGAAGTAGTTAACTTAGTAACTTGAAATTGATTTGATTTAAAAGAGAACGTTAATCGTTTTGTAACGAATCAGTAAATTGTATACACGTGATATGGAGAAAGATATTTCCTAGTTAAGTAACTGCTAAGGGTTTTCCTGTTAAATATGAGTATTACTTGTAGTTTGACTAGTTGGAGGTCTCACTGCAGTACCTTCAGACGCGTATCTGTGTGTGTGCCACCATCGCAATTGTCTGCCCGACGCTTCACTGTATGGCATTATCGTCACCGCTCGCTGTTTGCTATGTGCTTGGTTACTAGTTTCTGGTTTGTGGACAGCATGTCGGAGAGTCGAGGTTCCGCAGCGGATCGGTGACTGGTACTAATTGGCGCCTCTGTGAACCGGAGAAAACCCGCGACATGGAGAGAGCCGAAGAGTGTGAAGTCGGCTCTTCCATCGATCAAACATGGGGCAGAAAAGAAAGCGGTGCTTCCGCCGACGAATCGCTGTTGTTTTACTGTGAATCCCTTTTTTTGACCTTGACCCATTTTCCGTATTAATACTAATATCCACCCATTTCCAAACCAACCCACAGGTAAAAGCAAAGAGGCGGAGGTTAAACGCATAAACAAGGAGTTGGCCAATATACGGAGCAAATTCAAAGGAGACAAAACCCTCGACGGCTATCAGAAGAAGAAATATGTTTGCAAGCTGTTGTTCATCTTTCTCCTCGGCCATGACATCGACTTTGGCCACATGGAGGCGGTTAACCTGCTGTCCTCCAACAAATACTCAGAGAAGCAGATCGTGAGTACACCAAATAATTGCTTTAATAATCATGTTGTTATTCATCGAGTGAAAACAATTGGACTGGAAAGGGTCTGCTTTTGGCTAGACACAACAATTTTAATATTTCATGTGGCTTATGTTTACAAAAAAAGAGTTTAGAATAATATTGAAACATTTAACCTATTCTATGACTTTAAATAATGTATTTTCTTTTCATATTCCAGGGCTACTTGTTCATCTCGGTGTTGGTGAACACGAATAGCGACCTTATTCGGCTCATCATCCAGTCGATCAAGAATGATTTGCAGTCGCGCAATCCTGTGCACGTCAATCTGGCGTTGCAGTGCATCGCCAACATTGGCAGCCGGGACATGGCCGAGTCCTTTTCCAACGAGATACCCAAACTACTCGTCTCGGGCGACACCATGGATGTGGTGAAGCAGTCGGCGGCGCTGTGCCTGCTCCGCCTGTTCCGCTCCTCGCCGGACATCATTCCCGGCGGCGAGTGGACCTCGCGCATCATCCATTTGCTGAATGACCAGCACATGGGAGTGGTCACGGCAGCCACCTCGCTGATCGACGCCTTGGTGAAGCGTAATCCGGACGAGTACAAGGGTTGTGTAAATTTGGCTGTTTCTCGATTGTCCCGGATCGTAACAGCCAGCTACACGGATCTTCAGGTGGGAATTAGAGAATATAAAATAGAAAAGCCCTAATCCAATAAAATTTTCATCGCAGGATTACACTTACTACTTTGTGCCGGCTCCATGGCTATCCGTGAAACTTCTTCGGCTGCTGCAGAACTACAATCCGGTGACTGAAGAGGCGGGTGTGCGGGCTCGCTTAAACGAGACTCTGGAGACGATTCTGAACAAGGCGCAGGAGCCGCCCAAGAGCAAGAAGGTGCAGCACTCCAACGCCAAGAACGCCGTGCTCTTCGAGGCCATCAATCTGATCATTCACAGCGACAGTGAGCCGAACCTTCTGGTGCGCGCGTGCAACCAGTTGGGCCAGTTCCTTAGCAATCGGGAGACCAACTTGCGCTACTTGGCTCTGGAGTCCATGTGCCATTTGGCCACCTCGGAGTTCTCGCACGAGGAGGTCAAGAAGCACCAGGAAGTGGTCATCCTGTCGATGAAAATGGAGAAGGATGTGTCCGTACGCCAAATGGCGGTGGATCTTTTGTACGCCATGTGTGATCGTGGTAATGCTGAGGAGATTGTCCAGGAGATGCTCAACTATCTGGAGACGGCTGACTACTCTATTCGTGAGGAGATGGTGCTCAAGGTGGCCATTCTTGCCGAGAAGTACGCCACGGATTACACCTGGTATGTGGACGTGATCCTCAATCTAATCCGCATCGCTGGCGACTATGTGTCTGAGGAAGTGTGGTACCGCGTCATCCAGATCGTGATCAACCGCGAGGAGGTTCAGGGCTATGCCGCGAAGACCGTTTTTGAGGCGCTCCAGGCACCCGCTTGCCACGAGAACATGGTTAAAGTGGGCGGCTACATCTTGGGAGAGTTCGGTAACTTAATCGCCGGAGACTCGCGCTCCGCACCACTGGTGCAATTCAAGCTGCTGCACTCCAAGTACCATTTGTGCTCGCCGATGACGCGGGCCCTGCTCCTGTCCACGTACATCAAGTTTATCAACCTGTTCCCGGAGATTCGCACCAACATCCAAGATGTGTTCCGCCAGCACAGCAATCTTCGATCCGCAGATGCGGAATTGCAGCAGAGAGCCAGCGAGTATCTGCAGCTTAGCATCGTGGCATCGACGGATGTATTGGCCACCGTCCTGGAGGAGATGCCATCGTTCCCTGAGCGCGAGAGCTCCATTCTGGCAGTGCTGAAGAAGAAGAAGCCCGGGCGGGTGCCGGAGAACGAAATTCGCGAG